CCAGGAAGGCACCTGATCCTCAATAATAAATTTGTTTTTGGGACCTCTATTGTGAAAAGTTTTTTCCACTGGCAAAATTGCTCATGGAATCTTCCTTTACTTAGGAAGCCATGGAAGCTGAGGAAGCTGAAAGCTTGGGGCTTTGTATGAATATGATCTTGCATCTTGCTGTATTGTGCTGTGGTCGTTTGTGTTTGTAATGGTCAGCAAGTCGCGCAAACGCATATGTTTGTTTGCAGTTTTTTGCATTGATTGAAATTCGCGTGCAGGGACTTTTCTCGCATGCAGCTCGCCCTTTGTTGATAGGGAGTTTTATTGTCTAACCGTGCCACTTTCTGCCCAAACGGATTAGAATTGTGAATTGCGGAGATGTCAGACGCATCAAAGGCAACGACCACCAAGAGCTCCAAAAACTCGCTTCTTGCATCTTTAGGTCGAGCATCCTATGTGTCCCAAAGGGGGATTGCAGACACCCTGAAGCGTTTGAAGGACTCAGGGGCTGCAGAAGTCAACCTGCCTTCTTCCAGGTCGTCTGTGAAGCGTGCGCGGGTGGCAGAGTTGGAGAAATCCAAAACCCGATATGGCCCGCTCATTCAGAGCATGGAGCTGCTGGATGAAGAAAAGAAGATTGTGCAGGTTCGGTTTGTTCACCCAGTATGTCTTTTGGCAGAAATAACGGAAAGGCGTGAAGGGTATGCCAAATTTTTCACTTCCGATTCCAAGCATGACGCCAAGCCCTCAAGCCTCAATGACCAATGGCGTCTTGCTGTCTATTGTGATGAGGTATCACCAGGCAACCAGTTGAAAGGCCACAACGAACGGAAGTTCATGGCCATTTACTGGGCTTTTCTAGAGCATGGCTCTGACGGCCTCAGCAAAGATTCCCTTTGGTTCCCGCTGGCAGCAATCAAGTCATCAACATTAAGTGAGCTTGGTGGCATCACCCGAGTCTGGCCGAAACTGTTAGAGACCTTCTTTGCTGAGCACAGCAAGCTCACTGGATTGTATTTGGAGGTGATGGGCGCAAGGCCCATTGTTTTTTTGCTTCATACCACACACTGGTGGCAGACGAAGCTGCAATCAAACAGTCTCTGGAGAGCAAGGGTGCAGCTGGTGTTGTGTTCTGTGCGCGATGTTCCAATGTCGTTTCTTGGTCCTCGGAACTTTTCAAACACGGAACTGGCATCATTCCCTCCACGGAGCTCGATGACAACAAGTGGAGGCTCCACACCAACGAATCTGTGCGGGAAATTGTTCTGCATCTTCAGCGGCAAAGCGGTGTAATGAACAAGAAAAGGTTTGCCGAGGAAGAGAAGGCTCTTGGCTTCAACTGGCGACCAGATGGCCTTCTGATGCACGAAGTCTTTGGAAAGCTTGTGCCCGAATCTCTGATGTACGACTGGTGTCATGTGTATTTAGTTGGCGGTGTTGCGGGTACAGAGGTTGGATTGCTGCTTGGTGCCTTGCAAGACTCGGGCTTTGAAATGTCAGAAGTGGAAGGTTTCGTGAAAGGCTTCACGTGGCCCAAACAACATGGTTGCTGCGTGCCCAAAGGGCTTTTCAGCAGCTGGTTTTTGAATATTAATTGTTTGATGTGCTTCATGTACGGTTGCACCCATATTTTTTGCCGTGGGTTTTTGGCCTGTGGCCGTGGCCTTTGTGTTTTTGTTTACGGAGTTTAGTTCACATTTGTGTTCACGGGGTTTCGATTGTACAACATCCACCTCGAAAACGTCTGAGGTAAGCGATCCAAGAAGACAGACCCTCTGAAATGTTCAGCTTCTGAACTGCTCAGCATCATGCCATTGATCAGATTGTTTATTGTCAGCTTTGTTGGAGGACGTGTGGGTGATTCTTGCGCTGCAGTGGTTGCTTGCTTTCTGATGCTCATGAAGGTCATGGACCTTTTGGTCAAAATCAACCGCGGCAAGCAAGTGAGCCCGGCACAGCTCAAGCAAACAATTTTCGATCATGCCAAAGCCTTTCTGGACATTCACGGCCATGATTATTGGGTTCCAAAAAACCACCTTGCCCTCCACTTACCCGATATGCTTCGACGGGCTAAGACTTTGGTGTCCCTTTTCACGCACGAGCGCAAACACAAAGCAATCAAGCGCTTTGCCAACAATTTGACGACTTCGACTCTGTCGTACGAAAAGAGCATGTTGGAAGACCTGTGGTCGACTCAGCTTGAAACATTGGCCGAACCGTCTGCTTTTCCAAGCGGTGAAATTGTTTTTACTGGGCAGAAAGCCGCGCCGCGGGCTCTACGTGAGGGTTTGGGCCTGCGGGCGGAAGACATCTCTGTGTCCCAGATGGCTACAATAGATGGTTTGAGGGTATATGCCAAGGATGTTTGCTCATTCATTTCCTCAGGTGAAGAACGGATTGGCCAGGTATACTGTCATGTTGTCGTTTATGGTGTGAAGATGACATGCATCAGTGAATGGACCTTGTTGCAACCGTCCATTTTCGACATGACCGAAACTTTGATTTTTGTGCCCACCAGCTACATCAAAGATTTGCACCCATATTCTGTGAAAGAAAGTAGGGCGCTTGTGTGCGCGCAATGAGTTTGATTGGCGCTCGCTCTGGCAAAAAAAACTGATCGCGCGCAGATGCAAGTTAAACAGGTCGACAACTTGTTCTCTAAGCTCTCGCAATTGTTCTCTCGCCTGTCATTTGTTTTGCCAATTGCTGTGTTTCAGGAGGTTGGCAATTGTTTAAACCAGCCAACTTGTTTGTGACATTCTTGTGTGTGCAGCCATGCGTGTTGTTTGTTTGGGTGTGGTTGAAAGGTTGATTGATACAACTTGTTTGGCGCTCCTGTCAGGGTTGCTTGTATGTTGTTTCCTTTGGATGTACTTTTTCGTTGATTCTTGACAGATGTGTGCATGTTTTTTGCTTGAGGGCTGCGCATGCCAACATCAGGCGAAGAAAGACCCCCACAAGTCCCTGAATAGCAGCTCACAATTCGGGTTTTGGTGTGGTCAGAGACTTGCGGGTGTCTTTTTCCTGGCCCAATCTGAATGGAACACCTTGCCAGCGTACCAGCATTGACAGAACCCGGCAAAGCGCAGCCAAAGAAAAACGCACCTGCTGCCACACCAGCCCATGCAATTACGTATATGCCAACATTGACCGTATATACTCGCAGAGAGCATTTCTTGTAATGTTGGATCCTGATTAGTAAATGGTACCTCTATAATGCTAATTTTTTCAAAATTTATTCAGACCCCCCTGTTTGAAAAATGGTACCTCTATAATGCTAATTTTTGGGGGGGCCCTAAATTTTCAAAATTGGACACCCAATTAATAAGGGTTTGAATTCCTTCTGAGGCCAATGATTATGATTCATTAGCTGATATAGCTTTCTCTAGGTTTCTTCAAAACTGACAGCTGACCAAAACCACCAATTCCCCAATTAAACCCTTTATAAAACATCGCTCCTAAACAAATTTTCAAGGTAGTAGACCAGGAAGGCACCTGATCCTCAATAATAAATTTGTTTTTGGGACCTCTATTGTGAAAAGTTTTT